ATGCTCAATGCAGCTCACTGACGTCCACATGCAGAACCAGAGCGAAGAACGATCCATTGAGACATGCAGATGGGCGGGAGGGGGTTAAATGGGTGGGACAGAGGGAGGGGGGTGACGGGAGGGGGAGGGGGGTAAGGGGTAACTGACCTTGGTTGTCCACGGTTCGAGGAGGACGAGATTGATAGCCGTTGCCACTGCAGAGCCAGAGAGAATCCAAAACTGTAAGCGCTCTGCAGCAGCGGCTGTCTTCGTGAACGGGTGCGTCAGTCCTAGGGCCATCAAGCACACGGAGACGCACGTGAGAACAACCCTGAAGTATGCAGGGAATAGCTTTGATTGGAGCATACCAAACTGATGACGTGGCAAGCATCTGAAAGCGATAACCCCCCCGATGAAGGTAGCCCAGAGAGAGGACCCAAATGCTGTGGCGAAGGCCATCAAGTGGGCGAAGCTGATCGCTCTGCCCACTACTAATGCGTCAAGCTTGATCCATTTCGCCAGCGGTGACGCGGCTGCATGCTGGCCAAGGGGTTTTGGGGTGTAGACTATGGCAGCAGCAGCGATGGCCACAAGGATCGACAGGGTGGTCGCCCAATGCATCGTGGCTGAGGGCTGGGGGGTAGCTCAGTGACAGTCTAGAGAGACGGGTAGCGGAGACTGTTGCCGCTGCCTGCCGTAATCACTAAGTACTCTATGGGGGTACTCAAACTAAAGGGGGTACTCAAACTAAAACCTTTTAGACCCCAATACATCCAAATGATCCAACTAAGTGTTCTTGTGTGCGTAATGCACTAACTGCTGGGCGACAGTGTCGTCCTACAAAGGACTAGAGGACAAGATCAAGAAGGAAGGAAGGAAGAAGAAGAAGACGAAGGAAGGAAGAAGAAGAAGACGAAGGAAGGAAGAAGAAAGCCAACGAGACAAAGGAGAGGCCGACGCGTTCGTCGTACAACAAAGAAGCAGAGGACAAGATCAAGAAGAAAGAAAGAAAGAAGAAGAAACCCAACGGGCCGAGGGAAGAGTGGAGAGTAGGCGGTCCACGGTGTCCCTTCTCTATGCGAGAAAGATCACCACAGATGCTTGTCCACCGTTAGCCACCGTTAGCAGCTGCTGATGCCTATGAGACTGACGGGCCCCTTTGCTAAGCAAGACCACTCGGAGCTACCGTTAGCCACACTTAGCAGCAGCTACTGTAGTCTATAGTCTATAGACATGACGCGCGGTTCCTCCTCGACCACGCGAATGGGAAAGGCGCTCGGTACAACGCGCTTCAGCGCACGCACACTGCACACATACACATGCAAGCGCGCGCAGGCACGCGCACGCAGGGCCTGATAGTTGCCCTACTGGCCGATGCGTGCCTGATAGTTGCTCTACTGGCCATCGGCCAAGACCCTGAACGAATCTCAGGAGCAATTGCGTCCTGATGCATTCAAAATGCTGGCGGATGGCGGGTAGTGCAACTGGGCCCACGGCGCGCATACATGCGTATCACGCATACGTATGGCGCGTGATTTTGGGCGGGCTCGCTATGCCCAGCAGCGGGCTCTATGGTAGCTCGCAGAAGGCAGGAAAATTCGTGCCGTGCAGTACAAATCGAATGGCCGCGTGAAAAATTTCTACGTACTGGGCGGGCTGGTTTTTATTTGTAGCCAGGCCAACGTTGGCCAGGTTCGAGAAGGACAAACCGAACGAGCAAGCTACGGTAGACCATGCTATAACTATAGGACTGGCCACCCTGATAATCTGGCCAGCCTTACAAAAGGACAGTTAGAACTTCAACAGGGCACTATCTGTTCGCAACCCCGCCCAATCTGCTCGCAGCCCGTCAGGGGTGTGTTCGCAGCCCGTCAGAGGTGCGTTTCCCCCCCGGAGACATTTCAACGTCAATCAAATTTCAATGTCGGTGGGAGGGTGGGCATTTTGAGGTTTTGGGGCAAGGGCCAGGACCACGTAGGACCGGTAGCTGCCCGTAGGAGGCTGAGGAGGCTGCGGTTTTTCGAAACCTTTTTCGAAGTTGAAACGGCGCGGCTCCACTTTTCTCGAATAACAAATAACATCGAATAGAGCATGTACTCGTTGTATTCGAGTAGCACATACCCTTTTTATTCGGATTTCGAAAACAAAAAACTCTTGTATTCTAATAAAATTACTTCTTTTTTTTTTCTGGAGGTCAGCGTCTGCCCTTGTGCTCCCCACCACTGACATGCTGCATGCTGCAGGTCTCTCTCTCTCTCTCTCTCTCTCTCTCTCTCTCTCTCTCTCTCTCTCTC